TCAGGCCTTCCCGTCTTCTTTTCCCCTCTTAGGCTTTTTCTCCCATGTGGTCCTGTTACAACTTCAATTTTATCGCCCCAGTTTTCAACCCGAGGAGCGTCACTCCTGCCCGGTCGACAGGCCCATGTCCAGCCAAGCGGTCCACCCCAGTTCATCGACTTCTATTTGGAGCCTTCGATCATCCTTCAGATTGGCATGCCTCAATGTACGCACATTGCTACAGATCGGTCAACAGGCAGCACTTGCCCGAACTTTAGAGACCCTCTCGATCGATACCTGCTGTTTATCGGAGACCCACCTGCAAGACTCGAGCTCCGTGCTCACTCTGCGATTCCCTTCAGGTGACAGCAGCAGCACTTTCTCATTGCGCATATCCGGTGACGATGCAGCTTCGAGCACCGGCCGAGCCGGTGTTGGTATTGCCCTGAGTCCCCGGGCTGAAGTTACTCTGGTTGATTGGATTCCAATCAGTAGCCGGATGTGTGCGGTCCGATTGTCTGGCTCATTCAAAACTTCAAAGTCGCGTGGGACTAATAGGTGTCTATTCATCATCGCTGCCTATGCACCGACAAACTGTAGCGATGACTCGGTAAAAGACGACTTCTACCGTCAAATTACAGAGCCCCTTCGCCACAGAAGAAGCACGGACACTGTTGTGCTGGCTGGGGATCTGAACTCTCAAGTTGGAAAGTTGTCCACTGATGAAATGCATCTGGACGGTCAACACGGTGTAGACTACCGTAATGATAACGGTGAGCGGTTACTTTATTTGTGTGAAGATGCTCACTTATTTCTTGCGAGTACTAATTTCCGACACAGCATCCGCCGGAGGGTGACATGGCGCCCAACAGGCTCGAACCAGCTTTGGACGCAAATCGATCACATTGCGATAAGTTACCGCTGGAGAGGCTGCATCCAGAACTGTGGTCGATTTGGAGCACATGTGTGGAAACCGACCATGCACTTGTATGTGCTGACCTGCGGATGCGTTTTGGCGGACACCCACGAGGACGCTGTGAGCGCATTGACACTAGCCAACTGTTCTGAATGCTTATCAAAGTACGCTGTCATGCAAGTTCAGTAAACGCTCACTGGAGACAATTGAAGGTCCCTGGTCACATGTTCACCAGACCTTACTAGCAGCAGGCAAATCCTCATGTGGTAAGTCTAATAGCCAATATAGATACTGAGTCTCTTCACGGTCTCTGGAACTTATCGATGCTCGCCGGCATATTCCGGCTGGAAGCGAACACAGTGGAACTCGAAGAGCTCCGAGCAAAACTCCGTACTAGCCTGAAGAGAGGTCGAGAATCCTGGTGGTCTCTTCATGCGTCAGAGATGGAAGTAGCCACTGCCTTTAGTAATCATCTGACAAGTGGCCGAGAAAGCTGATTGCCAACGCGCGCGTGTTCGCCACAAATCGTGCTTGGGAAAGACCCTGAGAGCGTGTTGCCACGGCCCAGCCGAAAGGTGATGAAATCGCGCATCAGACATCATGCGTGTTGTCAAGGTCTAACCGGAAGCTGATGAAATCGCGCGTCGGACATCACGTGCGTTGCCATACACCGGGTACGAGGATGAAGAATGGCGTGCCCGAGCAAGACGGTGAACTGGCCAGACGGAGAGGACAAGCAAGTGTCGAGCGTGGGCTTACAGCCAAATCCGCCAAGCAATGTTTAGAGGATTGGTGAGACCGACATATACATATGAGCGTTCTCGGTTCTAATACAACTCTGGTCGGCTGAGTCTTCTTCTGTCTTCCTTCTTGTCGGGTTTGCCAAGGCGTCAAACAGAACAGGTGTAAGGGCGCAGATCTATCAGCAGGCGTGAATCAACCAGTCGATTGTGGGTACAGCGTTATAACACCATCGAAAGTTATTCCGTCTGATACGCGAGACGGGCAGCAGAAGACCTGGTGTTAGTGAAACAATTTGTGACGATAGTGGACAGCCTATCCACAATTTGTCAAAACATTTGGAGCATTGGGCTGAGAGCATTTCGAAAAGCAATTCAATCAGTCAGAATTATTCGATTCCTCACCGAGTAGTGATCGCCCTGCTCCGTTGGCTGTCCGTATGGATCCGCAATCTCGCTCAAAAGTCAAACGTGAGATCGGACGGTTGAACTTGAACAAACCGACGGGACCGGATGATCTTCATCCAGCCCTCTCCAAATTCGGGGGCCCTGCGCTTGTTGATGATTTACATGAATTACTAGGGAAACTGTGGGAGCGGGAAACTGTCCCAACCGATTGGAGTCGCTCCGTTATTGTTCTCATCTTCAAAGGAGGTTCGCGCACGGAATGAGGCAACCATAGAGGAATCAGTCTGATCCCCACCGCCTCCAAATTACCTACCTCTATAATCCTTCACAAACTGCCTGCCGCTCGTGAAAGCCAGATTCGTGAAGAGCAAGCCGGGTTTCGTCGAGGTCTTGGCTGCATCGATCACATATTCACCTTGCATCAATTGTTGAAGCATCGTCACACACATTGCCGGCCCACAGCAGTCGTATTCCTCGATATCAAAGGTGCATTGTATTCGGTCGATCGATGTGCCTTTTGGGACTGTATACTCAGAAAACGTGTGTCTGAGAAATATGTAAGTCTTATCCGAGCATTATACTCGCGTAGCACCGGCAGAGTGAGGGCTTACAGCAAGCTGTCGCCACCTTTCAATGTCTCCATAGGTGTGAGACAAGGATGTCCGCTGTCATCTTTCCTCTTCAACTTCGCTATTGACGAAGTCATGGAAATCTCGTTCACAGGATACAATTTAGAAGATGTGGAGCTGCTCCCAGAAGAACGACGATATTGCCCTCATCTATGACAGCTCACAAACGTGTCAAGCTACACTGGACAGATAAACACTGGCTGTCAGCCACTTCGAGCTTTGCTTTACACCATCGAAGTGCAAAGCTTTCCTCCAAGCTTGGCTGGGACCGCCTCCTTCGCTGACCTTTGGTGGGGATCAGCTAGAAGTCGGGCAGGAATTCAACTATTTGGGAAGTTGTATCAGCGCCCTTGGAATCGAAGACGAGATCGCGAACCGTATAGCAAAAGCTCGAAGTGCTTTTGCTAGTCTTCGCCAGTTATGGCGGCGGCGCGACATTACTCTCGCCGTGAAGAGTAGAGTGTACAATGCAGCGACACGTTCGACCTTACTGTACAGTTGCCAAAATCGACCCCTTAGATCAACAGACATAAAGAGGCTAGTTACGTTCGCCCATCGGTGTCTTCGCGGTTTGGCTCACATGTGATGGGCACACCGAGTGAGCAACGAGGGTGTCTGACGCTTTGTTCATGGCACAGAAAAAGGAACGGAACCGCTCAGCACCGTCATTTCACGCACCAGGCTCCGATGGTTGGGCCGCGTGTTGCGCATGCCGGCCCACCGACTCCTGCGACGTGCGCTATTTGCTCGCCGGGGATGTGGATGGAAGAAGAGGATGGGTGGCCAAGCGATGACTTGGTCGAGAAGAATGAAGGCCCTCACTTCGGAGCTATCCTCCGTTGGAGCGTCACGGCTCCCTGGTTGGGGTCCAAAAGACGATGGACACGTTTGGCTAGATACACTTACTGACATGGCCAGGAGCCGACTTCACTGGCGTTTCCGCTGTGAGTTTATTTATCCCTCTCCAACAATTTAAGTCTCCCCGCCAACCACGATCTCATTCCGTAGCATAATATACTTTTACATTGTAATGTTTATTGTTGCCTAGCAGCCGGCTGCTAGCTTCTCGGAACGATGCCCATCCGTTGTTAGTAGCTCAGCTGGCATACAACTGTTGTATTTATTTTTTTCTTTTATGTATTGCGGCATAGTAGCTGAGGTGTTTTTACACCTCAAGCTAACATGTATAATGATGATGATCCTATGTCTTGCCGATATCAAAGAGATTTGTTTAGTGACCGGTCAAATGCACCAAGGTTGTGAGTTATTGGGACCTGCTTTCAGCAGAACTCGGTGCTTTGGACCAACTTCTTGGCTTGGTGACAACGAAAAAGTGCAATGCATGAGGTCCGATAAAATGAAAGGAGCTGTATTCCCATGTGTGGGGCGATACTGACATTAGTGTGATCGATGCTTTATACCTCCTAAAAGGAAAATCCATGATTGATAGGGGTGTGCTCAAAGTGGGAGGAAATCCTGTCTGCGTAGGCACTGAGAATGTCAGCGCTGATTAGAGAAAAGGTGCATGCAGTTAGACTGCAATGTGATGTAAGTGAAACACCACAAAAAAACCGCAGTGTATAATTTGTATTCAAAAAGAAAGCAGAAAACGTGAATTTTCTGATGCACCCAGTGATTGCGACATGGCATCATTTGCTTGACTCAAACAGAGGATTAAGAAGGGCCACCTGCCACGCTCAATGGTGACGATAGGAACATGATAGTCAAGTCCCAGTAGAGAGCGATCCGGTGAGGAAATTAGCCCACTTTCGGTTATAATCAATAGTCGATCTATCGATATAAGGAAATAAAAGAAGGCTTCATGTGACAGATGAAATCTGAACCTCTTGTTGGGCAGGCGGCACGAGTATAATGAAACGCCAACACGAATAAGAGGAAGAGGAACGCGCACAAATGATTAAACTGCAGCGTTCAGTGAAGAAATATAAAAGTTACAACAAAAAGAGTAGAAATGGTAAGTCCTAGACATCCGCTTAAAAACATGGCAATTTGCTCAGCCGGCAATCAGGATGGGAATGCAGAGTTTCAAGTGCCCGGTGTGAACAGGGAGAGTGACGGGAGAGGCAGCTGTGATGTCAGTTAAAAGTTGAGCAAATTCGCGTTGGCTACCAGGATAGAAACATTGAAGCACAATGCACTCAATGATGGGACAGGTTGGGTATCAATGCGAAAGAAGTACCTGTCAGAAGCAATCATAACACGGCAGATTCAGAATCGGTAAACGAGTAGGTGACCGCAACAGACCATTGTGCCAGGAGTCGCGGATGAAAAAATGAGTTGAATAGTTGAAACGAGGCAGTAACTAACCCGGACTTTGATATGCTTTGATACAAAAGAGTCATTCACGGAGAACACGTCAGTTGGCTCGATTTCTCTACTTTTTGGCTCTTTGCACAGAATACGCTGATTGGAACGACCAAGGGCCAGAGCCATCAGACTCCGCTTCAGTTCCTTGTCGGGTATGTTGGTCTCACTACTCAGCTCCTGATACGTGTAGCGGCCACGGCGATTGAACTTCATCAGTATTTCCATCTGGTATGTGGAGACCTACATATGGGATGCAATTGATAGGAAACGAAGCAATAAAAAGAATAAATGATATGTAGCTCATCAAAACTGCTGATAAAGTGGATCAACAACACTGGCACCGCCACCTAACCGTTTCCCAAGCTGTAGCTAAAAGCGAAAGTAGGCCGTTTTATCGAAACATAATTCATGGGGCCTGGAAATTAGTAATAGGAAAACCTTGTGCGAAATTTCCTAAGACGCACTTCTCTCTCAGATTGTAGTATTTGTGGTAATTCCGACTTGCGTCTCTCATTGGTTACGAATGAGAGCGAGCATACTGTTCGTCGTCTTCCGAGAAAAGATTCTCCGTACAGGCCACACCCATCTTCAGATAACTATTCAACACAAGAAACTAGACGCATACTTTCTCATTTAGTTCACTGTTGACATACACCAGATCTCGTGTCACCAATCCCATCCTTAACGTTTCCTCACGCGCCAACCTTACTCTTCACTATCTGCTTACCATCAACACGGCGCGATGTCAATGACTTAGACTCGAGACAGAATCCTACGATGCATTCTGCAGCCCACCTCACTACACGTGTAATCCGCGTCTCTTACAGAGACGAAAGGAAAAATCCTGTGGAACACGTTTCACGTTGGACCTTTGCGCTTGTCTGCTTCAGAAGCATTGTCATTGTTACACATCACTCACTCGCACAGGTTGGCTTGCCGAACCACCTCATGGTGTTACCAGCTGGGTGCTTTGGGATAATCCAGTTCTAGCGAATGGTTCGGCGGTAGTGTTCGAGGACGTAAGGGGTGTGGTTAGACGAACTGTTCAATGAGCTTGGCAATTTTGTTGCAAACGTTTCGTTAAGAGTGGAGGCGACGTCAGCACTGCGCTAGTGTGTAGCGTGGCGGAACAATGCGTAGGCAGGCGTGAGCGAAGTAGTTACGTGAGTAGGCTTTCATAGGTAAACGTCATCGGTCGTCCGGGTAGGTGACCTTTGAAAACGCCCCTGCCTCATGACCATGGCCAGTGAATGAAAATGGGCTTTCGTTAAGCCACCCTTCTCCACATAAATGTTCGTTTACTAAGATGTAACGGATGTGATTCGCCAACAAATGAATTTGCTGCCCCTTACGCTTCACTCTAGTGGAGCATTACATTGCAGCAACCTGATGCTGAAATCGTAGAGAAACCTAAGACCCCTATTTAGTAACAGACTAAAGAAAAAGTGTATGATCTGAACACTCGGTCAAAGTCTTCAGATGGATGCGATTTTCTGATTTTGCCCCGCTATTTAGCGAAAAACTGGCTGTAATGTCCATTAATTCGATTTGGGCAACCGGGTAGTATCGTGCTTTCGGACAAAACCCTGGGTTGCTCTGTGTATTGTTCGGTTTTTTTAACGACAACCGTACCTTCCACTATTTTCCAAGAGTTTGATGGATCCATGTCTATCCGTAGAGTTTTGGAAAAAGAATAAATACAAATACAGGTCGTAGCAATGGTTTAATGTCCTAATGAATATGGAGCAATCAGGAAATCAGTGAGGCTCTTGGATTCGTTTCCTTACCACCAATCCGAGACTACTTAGTCGGACGCTTTATATATTTCTCGTTCCTATAAAATTAGCATTATCATTACACTGTCAATATTACGGGAATGCAAGTCGAATGCACCTAGGTACATGGACCATAGTGGATAAACGGAATTTAATCGAATCGAACTGTTTGCATCAGCGTGTTCGAAAAACGACAATGCGGCGATTGTAGTGAAATTGATGTGTGCGAAGAAGAGATGACAACGAAGCGATACCTGCAAAAAGTATTTCCGAACTGCACATCGTCCAGAACTGACAGTATTTGGGTCCAGCGTTCCAGGGGCTCCTGGACTACCTGGCAGACCACTGACCATCATGGCCTGACTGCACTGACTTGTGGCTTGACCAGATGATCCCGAACTCGAACCCCGGAGAAGATATCCTGGAGCGAGAAGTTCTGTGCCGGCCGTGCAGGGAACAGCCAACGAACCAGATGCTCCGTCCGAACTAGAGGCGCGACCAAAGAAAAGCGCGGCCAACTCGGCATAGCCCATATTCGTTTGCAAATTGATCTTACGTCCATTGTGCTTTCTGAGATAAAAGCTGTAGTAAGGTGTGAATCCCGTGAATTGCGAAACGAAGATATAAGAGGATACACGTACCTAGTGTGTACCATGGTAATGAAATATGTTAAGTTTAATAGCTGAATGAAATGTAACCTGTCCTGAAAGCTTCGAGTTGCATCGAGGCGACATTAAACATGACTATTTGTACGATAGTTACAAGTAACCGGTAGCAAGAAACTGAAGAAAGGGCACGAGGGGTGTGCACAGAAGCCATCCGTAAAAAGAAGCGATTTTCGATGTCACATGTGTGTAAAAGCTTCGAAAGATTGCATGAATTAAATGCCTAGTAAGCCCTTCGATTTGTTCTCATAATAGAAAACAGTTTCAGGTTGTATACAGGTTGTATAAATAGAAATGTAGGCACTCAGGTAACGTAGACGGAGAGAGGTGCGACAACTAATATGTGGTGCCCTTTAGTGCTTATCTCACAGCAATTGTGGTTCGATCGAAATTCGACCTCTGTAGGCATTACTGTGACAACGCAAGCAAGAGCTACCGGAGGACTGAAGCGCTGAGGTAATGAGTGTACAGATTTACTTGTGATCAGAAAGAAAACAAGACTAGAACGAACCATCAGGTGGCTCACACAACAGGCCTAGCAGTGATCTCCGCATGCAAAGAAAGAGCGTCCTGATTGTGACCTTTTTTTCGAAACTCAACAAACTCCCCAAAAGTCCCGCATCTGGACATATGTTGCTCTAAGGGATTTCCATACAACTGCTGATTGGCGGCATGCGAATATCGTGAAGGAAAGTTGCAATCGGCATCAATTTAACCTGGCTTCAATAATGTACAACTTTGGCCCAAGTGACAAGAACTTGGACTACTCTAAAATTGATGTCGGCTAGCGGCGTAGCATAGCGAACGGGGTAACGGGTAAAGAATAGGAGTTACAAGCCAATTCAAGCACAGCATGCGCTATGTACAAAAAAATAAATAGCTCACGAGACACCGGTGTGGTATTTAGAAATAAGCGCAAAGCCTTCCGCGTAGAAAAGGCAATGGAAACAGAATGACGAGCGGGGACACAGTCATATCGTCGCTATTAGAAGGAGTGAACGATCGTTTCTTTATTGGATTCAAAATGCAGACTAGCTGAACGGAATCCAGACCAACGTCCTCTCTGAATTGCAACCGATCACTAAACGATGAATAAGAGCACTGATAAACGGAGTAACCTGATACGCGCGCAACGGAGACGAACCTCAGGATCACATCGTAAACCAAATGGAGAAAGACTGATGTCTAGCGAGAGTAGTTAATTTGAGGAAGACTAAGGTGAGCAGTGACGTATACAATTGAGTTTATAGCATAGTCAATACATTATGTGGGGTATGCGTTTGGTAGAACGGAAGTGTACTTTGAAGCATGTTGCGCTGTCATGTAGGCGCCGAGCGAAGATTATTGTGAAGGAAAACATAAGTTTAATGTAAGAGGCAAGTACCATGTACAGCATGACGGCAGCAGAAAGCGCACTTGTTGATTTATGGGCTCAATTTGCGATAAAACGATTACTAGAAAAGGGTCTGAGTGCATCATCATCCCCATCAGTTCACGAGACAGATAAAGGTGAGAAACACCTTAGCCACTGTGCGAATGCAGTATGAAGAAGAGGGGCCCAATAAAACATAGGCAAAAGATATCAGCAGTACGCCGGTACGCAGTACCGATGTCTCGCTGCCGCCCAACCCCCAAGTCACATGTGGGCTAAAGATTCTGCGAGTATTGCCCAGTCCTCTACGCAGGCTCGAATCCCCGCCCTGGGATAACAGCGCAAGCTTGTGATCCACTAGGCTACGGGCAGGTGAGGAAATAATCAACACAACACTTCAAAAATAACTGCGTTCGGTCGTCGTCCGATATCCCGTAACGGACACAAAAACAAGAACGATTAAAGCAATGCACCAATAAGCATGACACTACATGCGGCTCTAAATCACGGGGAGAAAATCATTCATCATTATACAAGTCAGCTAGAGGTGGGAAACACCTTAGCTACTGTGCCGCAATACATTAAAGAAAATGCAATAAATACAACAGTTGCATGCCAGCTGAGCTACCAGAAACGGATAGGCATCGTTCCGGTAAGCTATCTGCCGGCTACTAGGCAAAAAGAAAAATTATTATGTTTTACGCTGCGAAATGAGATCGTAGGTGGAGGGGGAGGCTAAAATGGATGGGGGGAGACAAAAAAATTCTCAGCAGGAACGCCACTGAGGTCGGCTCCTAGCCATATCAACAAGTGTATCTAGCCAAACGGGTTCTTCGTCTTTCGGACCTCAACCATGGAGCCGAGACGCTCCAACAGAGGCCAGCTCCGAAGTGAGGGTCTTCATTCCTCTGGACCAAGTCATCGCTTGGCCACGTCTCCTCTTCTTCCATCCACACCCCCGGCGAGCAAATAGCGCACGTCGCGGGACTCGGTGGGCTGCCATGCGCAACACGTGGCCCAACCATCGGAGCCTGGTGCGCGAAATGACGGTGCTGAGCGGTTCAGTTCCTTTTTCTTTGCTGTAAATAAAGCGTCGAATACGCTCGTTACTCACGCGGTGTGCCCATCAGATGTGAGCCAAACTGCGAAGACACCGGTGATCGAACGTAACTAGCCTCTTCATGTCCGCCGATCTTAGGGGCCAAGTTTCACAACCGTACAGTAGGGTCGAACGCACCGCTGCATTGTATACACTACCCTTCAGGGCGAGAGTAATGTCGCGCCGCCGCCATAACTGGCGAAGACTAGCAAAAGCACTTCGAGCTTTTGCTATACGGTTCGTGATCTCATCTTCAATCCCAAGGGCGCTGATCCAACTTCCCAGATAGTTGAATTTCCGAACGACTTCTAGCTGATCCCCACCAAGGGTCAGCACAGGAGGTGATCCCTGCCAATCTTGGAGGAACGCTTTGCATTTCGATGGTGCAAAGCAAAACCCGAAGCGGCTGACAGCCAGTGCTAATCTGTCCAGCGCGGCTTGGCAAGTGTGGGAGCTGTCACAGATGAGGGCAATGTCGTCTGCATGCTCTAAGTCAAAAAGTCGTTCATCTGGGAGTATCTCCACACCTTCCAAGTTATATCTTGTAAATGACTTCATCAATAGCGAAGTTGAAGAGGAAAGGTGACAACGGGCATCCTTGTCTCACACCGTTGGAGATATTGAAGGGTGGCGATAGGTTGCCGTAAGTCCTCACTCTGCCTGTGCTACGCTACGGGGAAAAAAATGAAAGGAATCTAGTGTCACGCATGGATATTAGTGATCTAAACAGGTTTTTTCTGTGCCAGAACTTAGAAGCTGCGAAAAAAGAACCGCTGAACTAAGTCACTGATCGCCTATTGGCTGCCTACGTGTGCTTGTATCAGTGTCTACTGACAGGCGTCAATGAGTCGTAAACAATCCGAAGCTTAATGATCGATACATGGAGTACGAGTTTGGGACATTAGACACTGTGCTATTTACCTGAGATGTTCCGATAAGACTAACCCAGCTAATGTTCTCGTTTCCAGTGTCGCTGGCACACGTATTAGTCTACAACAGTGAAGACGTGAACGAAATGCAGTATTGATTTCAAAGAAAGCAACGAATGTAATTGGGGGACTAACTGGAGGGGTCATACCGAAGCACTCGTTGTGTGTGTGTGTGTGTGTGTGTGTGTATGAATTGCGATGCGCAATGTAGACAGCGATTCGCATTGAAGTGAAGTTTGATCAATTCGATCACTGGGACCGAAATTGGGACATTTGTTGATAAATCTCATTGGGCCTGTGAAATTAGGAATCGGTGTTGGAATGACTAGCCATATCCAGTGTGAATTGGATTAGACTGGCCAGGGTTATCCGGAAGCAAAAAGTGCATACATCCATGATGGCTTCTCATTTCCAGTCACCAGTTATTGCTCCTTAACGGATAACGTGTACCGAAAATGTCTGGCAAACGAAGGTTAAAATGTCCGTGAGTAAGCTAATTACGTGCCATCGACCCAAGTTGCACATCAATCGCAATAGCTGGTTGATAGTTAGAGATACGCTTGCAGATGCAGAGACAGATTCGCCCCCTATCCTCGCATAGATTTACGGAAAAGCCCTCAAGTTGTGTCACGGCTCACATGCGTGATTAAAACCTAATAGAAGATGTCAAACCACGAAATCCTCAATTAGAATAGCTTCGGCTTTTTATCAGTTAGCATTGGGAAACTCAACACTACGGGATGTAACTCGATCAGTGAGCAAGTGCGTGTTTGCCAAAACGACAGAAAGGAAACACAAAGCTGATGAAAAAGCAGGAGTCACGATGCCGGAATCCACGTCTACAAATAGCCCAGAACGGTAAGTGCACCAGATCATTCGCCTACGGTTGAATAAGAACATCCGGTGATTTTTTCATGAGGCTGGGTAGTTTGTTCCCCGTAACCAGACAGGAAGTGATCACAGCAACATATAGAGAACAAGAAATTAGTACGACGATTAATAGGATTGACACGGGGATTGTCCACTACGACGCTCAAGACGCAGAGTTCTGCTAAAGTACGTTTCTCAACACTACTTGAGCTGCGCCGTAATCCCAAATGCAACTAATATTAAACATTAGGAGCCCGGAATAATGCCCCGCAACACAGATCAAGCCGCGAGGTGGTGAACAGGTCAGGACTCATGGACGCTATTTCAGACCATAGGGATAAACTTTTGCACAACCCAAGTTAAAGAGACATCAACTAATGGGCAGGAGTATGAGCTCACCAAATTACCGGAGAGCACCTATTGTGCAAAGAGCTCATCAGTAGCTCAAGTAGGTCTGGCTGGCGACTGTCTCATCAGCATAAATTATCAAGAGATTATTAAACCAATGTCCAACGACGTTCGGTGATTGGCATAGCTGACTCTGTCGTTCATTCCGTTGCAAAGTAGTTCGTAGAGTCAAGGAAGTCAACGCATAGGGAATCGTCCACTCGTACTCTGAGTGGTAGAGCTGAAGCTATTAAGCAGTC